GGCCCCGGGTTCGAGGCCCGAGCCTGGCCCCGGGCGGGACGGCCGGGCTGGACCCTCGGCCTCCGCCTTCCCCGGGACGAGGGGCTCGCGGTTCCCGTCTCGAGGGCGGCGGGAGGTCCCGGGGGCCCGGCACACAGTAGGTGTCTCTGGGAGTCTCGGTTTCCCCATCTGGGAAACCGGGTCATCCCAGCGCCGACCTCGCGAGGCTGTCGGGAGGATTCCGGAGGTGGGGGATGAGGAAGGCGCCCTGCACACAGTAGGCGGCCAATAAGTGCTCATCGTCCTTCCCCAACCTTCTTCTCAGAGGGGCTCAGCCTGGAAAAGAGTAACTGTTATCATAAGCCAGGCACTGTGTACAAAGGACTTGCTTAGCAGAGTGCCTGGCTGTTAGCGGGTGCCCCAAACAGGGTAGCCAGAATTTATATGGTTAGCTCATTTAGTCCTCTAGAGACCAGACTAGGTGGAAGTGCTAAAAACGTTCTCTGTTATACAGATGGGGAAATCGAGGCTCAGAGAGGTCAAGTCTTTTGCCTAGGGCCACACAGCAAATGAGGGCAGAGCTGGCATTAGCACCTGGCCTCCACAGAAGGACACACAGGGACCTCTCTGTGGTGAGTGAAGAGGTAGGAATGCATTCCTCAGGCTCCACGTTTACCCTAAAAAATAATCATGGTGAGCATTTCTTGAGCACTTACTGTATGCCAGGCGCTGACTGTGCCCTGTCTCACCAGACCCTCCCGACAGCTCTGTAAGCTGATGGCGGTAATTATAACAAGAGCTAATATTTATTGATTTCTTAATATTTACGGATTTTTGAGCTGGGTGTCGTTATGGCCCCTAGTTTACAGATGAGAAAATTGAGGTGCAGAGAGTGAAGCAGCTAGCCTGGTATCACACTGTGGGGAGTTAGGGTCCTCTGACTCTCCCTTCAGTTTCCTGCCCTCAAAAAAAGGAGACTGGGCAGGTGTGGAAAGTGTGTGATGCCCCAGCGCCACCCCAGACAGGCCTAGCTGAGGGCGAATTTCGCTGCAGGAATCGAGTCTGGGGGCTCCTTCTTAGCAAGCCCCTCGGCAGACAAAGTCCACCAACTCCGTCAATGTATTTGACAGAGGAGAAGGATGAGGCCCAGAGAAGCAAAGTGACTTGTCCCAGGACACACAGCATCAGTGACAGAGTCAGGACTTAAAAGAACCCAGGTGTCTTGAGTCCCAGAGCCCCTCTTTGGACTAAGTTCAAATGCTGGCGCTGTCTCGTCTTAGCTGTGTGACCTTGGGCAAGTAGCTGCCCCTCTCTGAGCCTCAGTGTCCTTACCTGTCAAATGGGGGTATTTATTGGACTTATGTCATAGGTTTGTCGTGAAGATTCAGTGAACTCCATCTCCCGGGCACTGGGCCAAGTTTGCCTGCTCTCCCATCCCAGCAGCTCCAGAGCTGAGTGTAGCCTGCAGCCACCATATCCTTGTGTCCAGTCTGGCGTTTGGCCTCCTCCAAGCCCAGGCCTCTGTGGTTTGCATGGACCTCTAGCCTCTAAACATCTCTGATTCCCACCACGGGCACTGGCAGAGAGCGAGGCCAGCCTGGTCCCTCCTTCGCGGAGCTTACCGAAGCGTGGAAGACAGACGCGGTTACACAAGTAGACGACAAATGAGGGCATTTTGGAGAGGCACCCATTCCCTGAGGGCAGTAACGTAGACACCCGTGGCTCTTTGTCCAGGGTCTCAGGGAAGGCCTTTCCGGGGAGGTGGCCTTTGAAGAGGACACTCACAAGAGCTATTTAGACTCTAGCAAGCTTGGCACCCGGTACACAGTAGGTCCTTAATAAACAGTGGCCGCTGTGATTATTCTGGCCATTTGTAGGCCTTGCACTAGCCGATTTACCAGTGGGGTTTTAATTTTCCCCTGAGAGTAAAAGGAATTGCAGAACTTAATATACAGGAGCTGTGATGGTTCTTATAATGCCTGGTCTCTTGCAGAAATGTTAAGACCAATCCTTTGAGGGGCGGGAGGAATAGATTCCTGTCTGCATGTATTCCCTTGAATAGCCCAGTGGCTTCTCTGACTTGTGAGCTGGAAGTTCTGGTTGCAGGCACGCAGGAGGGTCAGCAGCATATACAACAGGGCAGGCCCGGCCGCTGCCCCGCGCGTGTTATCTCGGTCACGCAGCCTTCCTCCTGGGCCCCTGACTCTGGGCTGATACGGTCATCCCTCGGTATCTGAGAGGCATTGGTTCCAGGAACCCACCCCACCCCACCCCCCACCCTAGCAGATACCAAAATCTGCGGATGCTCAAGTCACTTATATAAAATGGCTTGGTATCTGCATATACCCTACACACATCCTCCTGTATACTTTATTTTTTTTTTGGTGAGGAGATCAGCTCTGTGCTAACATCCGCCAATTCTCCACCTTTTTTTTTTTTGTTTTTTTTTGTTTTGCTGAGGAAGACTGGCCCTAGGCTAACATCCATGCCCATCTTCCTCCACTTTATATGGGACGCCGGCACAGCATGGCTTGCCAAGGCAGTGCGTTGGTGCGCGCCCGGGATCCGAACCGGCAAATCCCGGGTCGCCGCAGCAGAGCACGTGCACTTAACCACTTACACCACCGGGCTGGCCCCTCCTGTATACTTTAAATCATCTCTAGGTTACTTATAATATCTAATACAGTGGACATGCTGTGTAAATAGGTGTTATACCGTATTGTTTAGGGAATAATGACAAGGGAAAAAAGCCTGTCCGTGTTCAGTACAGATGCAACCATCGTAGGCCTTTCGATCTGTGGTTGGTTGACTCCACGGAGGTGGAGCCCTCGGATACAGAGGGCCGACTGGACTTGCTTATCTGGCCTGCAACGGCCCAACTGTGGAAGCCCAGAAGGGCATTTTGGGTCAGTAGGGCTTCTGGTGGAGCTGTTCAGAGGGCTTTGATCCGTCGTCAGACTTTCCTGGTGCAAAAAGTTAGTCAATAATTTAAGCTGCTTTTTTCTCCCCTCTCTCTCGTTGAGTCTCAGATTTTGACTGGCAGAGGTTGGTAAAAGCAGATGGTGGGGGTACCTCAGTGAGTGTTTCTGGGGTCTCTGGACCATAGTTCCTGGAGACAAAGCCCTGAGGATGAGACAAGTTGGAGACAGAGATCCTTAGCTCCAGGGCACCTGTATTGGCTTCAAGGGGGCATCTAGAGAGGCCTCTGTTACTTTCATGAAATTCTCACAGGGAAACACCCAAGTCTCACTGGCTGGATGGAGTCAGGAGGTTAGAGGAGGGATGGAGGAGGAGGTGGGAGGAGGGATGGAACAAGGAGGATGGAGGAGGAGGGATGGAGGAGAAGGTGAGAGGAGGGATGGAGGAGGAGGTTGGAGGAGAGATGGAGGAGGTGGGAGGAGGGATGGAGGAGGTTGGAGGAGAGATGGAGGAGGTGGGAGGAGGGATGGAGGAGGGATGGAGGAGGGATGAGTAGGAGGTGGGAGGAGGGATAGAGGAGGAGGGATGAGGAGGAGATGGGAGGAGGGATGAGGAGGAGGTGGGAAGAGGGATGGAGGAGGGATGGAGGAGGAGGTGGGAGGAGGGATAGGGGAGGAGGGATGGAGGAGGAGGTGGGAGGAGGGGTGGAGGAGGATATTCCAAGGGTTCCTTTCTGCAGGTCAGACCCTGGGGTGGGGGACAGAATCCTGCTGAAGTCACCTACCCAGAGCAGACTAGATTGCTACCTGAGGCTCCAAATGTCTCCCAGGCCTCTCCTTGGGACAGAGACATGGCTTAGACCAGCTGCTCTGGTGGGGACAGTGGCTGCCCTGGTCATCCCCAGCCTGGGCCACTTCCTGGATGGCCTGGTGTCAAGGAGTTCAGAGCCGTACGAGAGGCCGAGAACCAGAAGGGTCAAGGTGACTCCCCGGGCTGGTCTGTGGGGCCGTGTTTCCAGCTCAGTTCTGCCCCACTCAGAGACCAGCCGTGGGAATCCAGTCCACGGAGAACAAGTCTCTACATGGTTGGCTGTGGTTCTGGCCCGGGAAAGGGCCAGGCCCAGGGCCGGGCACACAGCAGGTGCTCAATAACTGTTAGGTGCTGTTACATGTCTGGAAAGGTGATGTTGGGGGCGGCCTGCAAGCTTGGAGGGCTGGCCCGGGCTGGCTTTCCTTAGGAGAGGTAGAGATGACATAACCGAGGCCCTGCTGTGCGCCCAGCCTGGGCACCTGTGTCCTCATTGACTTAGCCCCTACAAAGCCCCATCTTACAGATCGGGCAACTGAGGCTCAGAGAGCTGGACTCAAGCCCCAGTCTGTGTCCGGCGCGCTGACCTTCCCTCCATCTCTCTGCCGGCCTCTGCGCAGGTGCCTGGGACCATGGGCCTTGGGCCCTGAGGACACGGGCTCCCCGTGGCCATGACGACGGGCGAATGCTGCCACCTCCCCGGCTCCCTGTGCGACTGCTCCGGCAGCCCCTCCTTCTCCAAGATCGTGGAGGCCACGGGCCTCGGGCCACCCCAGTATGTGGCGCAGGTGACTTCAAGGGACGGCCGGCTCCTCTCCACTGTCATCCGGGCCTTGGACGCGCCGAGGTGAGTGGTGACCAAGCAGGTGTCTTTGTATTCACTGGGCCCAGTGAATTTCCTGGGCCCAGTGGTTTCCTCCCTGTCTGGGGTCGGACATCCAGCCATCTAGAGGGGCCAGGTGGGCGGACTGACCAGAGAAGGGGCCCAATGAGTCATCACCGCGTAGAAACCGAGGCCCCGGCTGGCCAGGTCTGACTCTGTGGGAAAAGCCGAAACTCCGGATTATGATGTGAAACTCCGGGTTATGATGTGAAATCTGAAGATGAAATGTTGCCTCAGATTTGGGGAGTCAGTATAAATAAGTGGTGGGAGTGTAGGCTGTGGGTTCACAGTGCCTGGGCTCAGATCCTGCGTGGAAACCTCTCTCCCTGTGCGACCTGGGACAAGCCACTTTTACCCTCATATCTCTAAAATGGGGCCACCTTCGTTGCTGAGTTGTTCTGAGAGCACGTTGCCATGGTCCACATAAAGCATGGCCACCTCGTAAGCATTCAATGCATGTATTGAAAGTTCAGCACTGGCCTTCCAGACGCACCTGTGAGCTGAATCAGCCTGGTTCACTCATTGGACATCAGTTCCAAGGAACAGAGTTTTAAAGAAACCCCACACAAATCTGAATCCATTATAACTCACTTAGATTTAAAATAGTTACCAGGTTGGCTGGAGGAATAGGACTCTAAATGATTTCTTTTTCTTCTCAGTTTTTCAAGTTTTATGTATTTATGTTTATTTGCTACGAGTTAATTCAGAAGCTTTTTTTCCTAGTTTTGTTTATTGTGGTAAAATATACATACCATCAAATGTACCATCTTAACCATTTTCAAGTGTATAGTTCAGGGGCATTAAACACATTCACATGGTTGTGCAACCATCCCCACCATCCCTCTCCAGAACTTTCCATCTTCCCAAACTGAAACTCTATCCCCATTAAACACTGACTCCCCGTCCCCTCCCCCAGCCCCAGGTCCCCACCATCTACTTTCTGTCTCTCTGGATGTGACTCCTCTAGGGACTTCCTGTGGGTGGGATCATATGATGTTTCTTTCCCTGAGCATCGTGTCTTCCGGGTCCATCCATGTTATATCGTGTGTCAGAGTTAATTCATAAGCTTTTCATTCAAACACAAAGAGACACAGGTGGAAGCCTTGCAGTGCTTTGAGGGAGCTCACGGCCGCTCACCCTGTGAGTCTTTGCCTCGTGTCACTTCCTCCGGGAAGCCTTGCCTGAGCCCAGATGAGATTGGGAGTTCTCCTGCTGGGCTGCCTCCAGGGCGCTGGTTTTCTGTCTGTGTCTCCATCAGACCCCTTGGAGTCAGGACAGGGACTGTGCTGGGCCAGCCAGGCTGGGAGCCAGGGACCCCTGCAGGCCCAGAGGCCTCCCAGCCAGAGCTGCCAGAGCAGGGGGCCAGGGAGGAGGCTGACAGAAGCTGGGGTCTCTCTCCATGGGGTTCCTGAGGGGCGCTGAGTGAGTTGACCTCACCATGCCCCACCCTCCCTCTTGACACCTGGGGAAACTGAGGCCCAGAGGGAGGCGGACAGCTATCAGTGTCACTGAGCAGAGCTGAGGCTTGAACCCAGGGCTCCCGCTCCCGTGGGGAGGGGTTGAGGGGGAGCTCACTGGTCCCAGCAGCCTCTCCTGCAGCCCCCTGAGACGCAGGCAAGCGGCGGGCAACCCCTCTGTGATCCGGCTGGCGGTCAGGACAGCCTCCCATGCCCACTGAGACCCCAGGGCCCTCCTCATCTGCCCCTTGGCCTCTTTGCTGGTGGCTTCGCCCCTCTGCTTTTCAATGCAACCCAACCCAGACCTGCCCGTGCTGAAGGCCAGGGCAGGACTGCCTTTCCTGGAGAGAAGGCCGCTGTTTCTCCAAAGAGCTGTCGTCATCCAGGGATGTGGCCTCCCCTACAGCCTCCTGGCCAGTCTCCCGGGGAGTAAATGAGGGTCTTCAGGCTGCTACAAGGAGGTGCTGGGTTTGGCAGAGGCCACACAAGCAGGTCACTGTCCCCTCCCTGGCCCTCACCCTGTAATTCCTCCTCCTAGCCAGTCTCTGCCGTCTGAGAGCAGCAGGGCTGGGGCTCAAAGATATACCCAGCACCTTCTGACAAATCAAGCTTTCCATTTTGCTTCAAAGGAGACCTGGATCCCTGGGGGCACGTGGCCGAGACTAGGTGGGGTGGAAAGTTCTGGACCCTGAAACCTACAAAGGCCAAAGAGGAAGGCCCAGGAGGCATCTCCAGGGCCAAGACAAGCCACAGAGGCTCAGGCTTGGGGCCAGCCTGGGGGGCCCCTGGGACCCTCTGAGCCTTCGGTGCTCTGCCCACCAGGCTCAAGCTGTCCGAGGCCCTTCTGGAAGCTGCCCTGGCATTTCTGCATGCCCAGCCCTTCTGCCCGGCCTTTCCCACAGCTTCCATTCCCTTCCTTGCTCACGCTTTCCCATCTCCTCTTGCTTGAGGAGCATTCCCTGGGCAGCTCCACTGGGGTTTGTGGGTGTCTCACCCGCTCCCCCATCCCATTTCCTTGTCATCTGTGTTATTTGCTTTGCCTGCCCGAATTTCCTGAGTGACTTCCGTTTCTCTTGCCCCACCATCCGTGGCGGGCAGCGTAGGGTACACAAGCCCTGGATTCAGATTTCCTGGGTTCAAATCCCAGCTCTGCGGACTGCGAGCTGTGTGAGTTTGCACACACAAGTTAACCCCTCGATGCCTCAGTTTCCCCATCTGTAAAATGGGGGCAGAAACAGCACCTTCCTCCCAGGCTCCTTGTGCGGGTTGCACTTCGAAGAGTGCATAGTACATAAAAAGTTGCTCGATAATAAATCCGTTTTTGTCTTCTTTTCTCGGAACTTGCTCTTCCAAAGTAGGGTGCCCCGGGACAAACCCCCAACTGACATGGCCCTGCCTCGAGGTTCTCGTCCCTTCCACTTCCTGGGGTTGGTTTCCGGAGCAGGGATTCCTTCCCTGTGAACTTGGTGTGTGTCTGGGGAGGGAGGGCGCAGAGTGGGGCCGGGAATACCCTTTCGACGCTGCAGGAAAAAGCAGCTGGCACAGGGCTGCCGGGAAACAGACGTGAGGGGTCTGCTCAGCTCTTGGGTTTCAAAGCAGGCAGGCCCCGCCCCACAGCCCCACACGCCGAGAAAAGCAGAGAAAACAGTTCTGAGGGGAAACAGGCATTATCTGGAAAATAGCTCTCCTGCTCCGCCTCCTTTGTGTGTCTCTGGGCAGATATGTCTGGAAAACAATGACTCATGTGCTGGCCTGCCTCTGGGCCCACCAAGGCCACACCCCCGGCCTCCTGAGCTGCCCCAGGAAGGACCCAGCATCCCCAGAGACCCGGCTAGGGCTGAGACTTCCCCGAAGCGGCTTCCTGCGGACGCTTTTTACGTCTGTTTTCTGAGCCTCACAAGAGCAGAGGAGTGGGGGAGCTCTTTTCCCTGGACACACAGGTTTCTCAGGTAGCATGGCCTTCAGGTGCAGCTAGATCCAGAGCCTCTGGTGGTGTCCTTGAGAATCTGCCCTTCCCTGCTTCTTGGCTCTGTCTTCCTCTGTTTGGCGTCATTCACAGACTCCACGTGGAGACCAGACTGCTGCCAGCAGCTCTAGACTTATATCAGCCGTGCTGCCTGTTGTTCTGGAGTTTAGTGGGGGAAAAAAAAAAGAATTTCAGGAATTAGTTCCCAGTGGCTCTGATTGCATCACACATGCCCTTCCCTGAGTTGGTCCCCGTGACCAGGAGTGTGTGGTGTTCTGATTGGTCAGGTCTGAGGTCATCAGGGGTGTCATCAGCTCTGCCCTAGTCCTTGAGGACCAAGAATTGAGAGCAGGGTGGTTGCCCAGGGCATTCAAGGCGGTATTGCAGGAAAAGGAGGAGTGGACGCTGGGTAGGCAGGGACAAGAGATGCTCACCCCGGGCCTAAAAAGGTGCCACAGGAACCCTGGGGAGGAGCACATCACCCCACCTGTGGGAGTCTGGGAAGGCTTCCTGATGGAAAGGACATTTGAAGCTGGGCGTTGAAGGATGAGTAGGAGTTTGCCAAGTGGCAGCACAAGGGCAACGCTGAGCCTGTGATCCAGTGGGTGGTGAAGCAGGCTTAGGCAGGAAGCTCATGTGTTCTGTCTCTGTGTCCAGCGATGGTCCCTTCTGCCGGATCTGCCATGAGGGAGCCAACGGGGAGAGCTTGCTGTCTCCGTGTGGCTGTACTGGCACTCTGGGCGCTGTGCACAAGAGCTGTCTAGAGAGGTGGCTCTCCTCATCCAACACCAACTACTGCGAGCTGTGCCACACGGAGTTTGCGGTGGAGAAGTGTCCCCGGCCCCTCATAGAGGTACGCTTGGGGGCCTGAGGCTGGAGTGGGCAGGGGGTAGGAGGGCGGGCCTGGAGCCGGAGGAGGGAACCGCCCTGGGCTGGGGGAGCGGCTTCTCTGGTTGGGCGGACCTTCTCCCCGCCCCCCCACCCTGGGTGGATTCTGCTGATGGGGGTGGGGAACCAGGTCTGAGGTTCCAGACCTGACAGACCCTGGGCCCCCTCGCCACCAAAGCCGGGACCTGAGGAACGAGAGGGAGCCAGCATTGCCAAGAACCCAGGAAGGGCAGTCCTGGCAGAGGGCACAGCAAGTGCCGAGGCCCTGAGGCCACGAGGAGCTTGGTGTTCTTGATGCAGCCCGTGTGGCTGGAGTGGAGCGGGTTAAAGGATGAGGACAGGGGCCACACCCAGCTCAGACTTTAGCCCGCGTGTGTTGGGTCAGGGTTGAGAACGGGCACTGCTAGCTGTTGGATGCCCTCCAGGCTCCTCCCTGCCCTACTTGGAGAGCTGCAGGGTGACGTCACTGGGCTGAGGTGTGGGCTCCTGGAAGGGTCCCTGGCCCCCGGGGAACTGGGCTCCCAGAAGAACAGTTGGAGGGAGAGCCAGCCCCTGCCTGCACCCATCCCCCTTCTCCCTCGTGCTCCAGCCACACGGGCTTCCTCCCCGCTGCACTTTGTCCAGGCCACACACGCCCGCCTCAGGGCCTTTGCATATGCTGTTCTTGCAGTCTGGAGCGCTGTCTCCCCCATTCTTCACGTGGCTCCTTCTGCTCATTCAGTTCTCCTCAGCAGGGCCTTCCCCTCCCTCACCGTCCACCCCACTTCACACCTCCCCCAACTAGCAAGGGAGCTCCGGTTTGGGAGAGACCCTTTCTGTTCCGTTCTCCAGAATTCTGTGAGTGAAGCCCATTTCTCATGGCCAGGCAGTGTAGCGTAGTGGCCAAGGGCGCACGGGGACCGGGGCAAGACTTCTTGGGTTCCAGTCCAGGCTTTGCGGGCGACTAGCCATGTGAGTTTGCACAAATGAGTCAGCCCCTCTGTGCCCTCAGTTTCCCCCATCTGTAAAATGGGGGCAGAGACGCCCAGCACCTAGAAGGGCCTGGCTCTTCCTCAGCTCAGTAAAAGGAAATTTGAAGAAAGGCGCCAGGCAGGCGGCTGGTCCTGCAGGGCCCAGCGATCGAGTTGGGTGTCAGAAGAGGGAGGCACAGGGCCTGGAGGTCTGTCCCCCATCCCCAGGTGGGGGCTGGCGGGAGGGCGCTCAGCAGCTGCCCGCTCCCTTCTCCCCCTCAGTGGCTGAGGGACCCGGGGCCGCGGACGGAGAAGCGGACACTCTGCTGCGACATGGTGTGCTTCCTGTTCATCACGCCTCTGGCTGCCATCTCGGGCTGGCTGTGCCTGCGAGGGGCCCAGGACCACCTCCGGCTCCACAGCCGGCTCGAGGCCGTGGGGCTCATCGCCCTCACCATCGCCCTCTTCACCATCTACGTCCTCTGGACGCTGGTGAGTGGCTGCTGGCCAGAGAACAGCCAGTGGGGGCCTCCGGCTCGGAGCAGCCAGGCCACGGGCTGGGGGGGCTCCCCGCCTGCCTCTGCGTGTGGCCCTGGGGGGAAGCAACACCGAGTCTCATGGATTCCACATTCCGAGCCCAGCCAAGGTTGAGAGAAACCTGAGCCAGGTGTGAGCCTTCTGCTCCAAGGAGACCAGGGCACCTGATACCCAGTGCTGAGTGCGACCCCGCCGTCCACAAGCCCACCCAGACTGGGCCGGGCTGCGGGGAGACGAGGAGAGAGAGGAAGAACAAGAGGTTGAGAGAGCGACTGCGGTGGGGGGCTGTTCCAGGCTCCTGGCAGGCATTAGCACCCCTGCTCGGAGAGAAAAGTGCCCCCAGATCTTACCCCTCTGGACAGAACCACTGCCGTCCAGCTGTGCGGGGGTGTTCCCTCCTCAAGAATTATTTTGCAGTGCATCCACGAGCATTTGTTTTTTAATATAAATAGGATGAAATCATAGGTACTGCTTTGCAGTCTGCTTCTTTTCACTTTGCTAATGTCCTTTAAAAAAGAAGGCAGCCACCCAACAGCCATTCACTGTGTGGGTGTACCATATTTATTTAACTAAGCCCTTTTGGTGGACACTGGGATTCCTTCCAATGTTTTGTTTTTTCTTTCTTCCTTTTTTTTTTTTTTTTTGCCATTATGAACAGTGCTTTGGGCACCCATGCAAATGTTTCTTGGAACTTGCTTGGTCAAAGAGTAGGAACCATTGACAATTATTTAAAAAAATTTTTGTATAGACTTTATTTATTAGAGCAGTTGAAGGTTCACAGCAAAATTGAGCAGAAAGTGCCGAGATTTCCTCTATACCCCCTGCTGCCTTCCCACAGCCTCCCCCACGATCAACATGGCACCAGAGTGGTACATTTGTTACAACTAATGAACCTACATGGACATGTCATCATCACCCAGAGTCCACAGTTGACATGAGGGGTCATTCTTGGTGCCGTACATTCTATGGGTTTGGACAAGTGTGTAATGACATGTGTCCACCATTATAGTATCATACAGAGTGGTTTCACTGTACTAAAAATCTTTGGCTCTCTGCCTATTTATCCCTCCCTCCCCCAGCCCCTGGCAGCCACCAATTTCTTTACTGTCTCCATAGTTCTGCCTTTTCCAGAATGTCACAGGGTTGGAATCATCCGTTATGTAGCCTTTTCAGATCAGCTTCTTTCACTTAGTGATATGCATTTAAGCTTCCTCCATGCCTTTTCATGGCTTGAGAGCTCATTTCTCCTTAGCACTGACTAATATTCCACTGTCTGGGTGTCCCTCAGTTTATTTATCCATTCGCCGACTGAAGGACATCTTGGTGGCTTCCACGTATTGGCAATGATGTGACCCATTGACAATGAGCCCCTTCTGAGGGGCTGCGTTGCTTCACTCCCGCCCTCTGAGAGACAGAAAGGGGGTCCCTTGCTCCCTGCTGTAGACCCCCTCACCTTTGCAGGGCCCCGAGTGCTGGTGGGAGCTGCCCCAGGACAGTGATGGGTGCGTGTGCACAGTCTGTATGAGAAGGGCCTGGACGTTGGCTCTGCTTCTGGAAGCATCCAGGGGCCCAGTTTTCCTCTCTTGGGGGTGGAGGTCGGCCGGCTGGCCTTCGCACCCACCCCTGTGCTGCTGCCCCGCAGGTCTCCTTCCGCTACCATTGCCAGCTGTACTCCGAGTGGAGAAGGACCAACCAGAAAGTGCGCCTGAAGATCCAGGATGTGGATGGCCCCGAGGGCCCCCAGCCCTCCCTGCTGGCAGCCGGACTCCTGAAGAAGGTGGCAGAGGAGACGCCTGTGTGAAGGCCAGGCTGGCAGGGCCAGCGGCAGCTGGCGATGCCCTAGCGTTTGGAGGGACGGAAACTGCCCGACTCTTCCTGCACGGCCAGAACGCTTTTTAGGCCAAGAGACACCGAGCAGAGCCGATTCTGTGATCCCGTGTGAAGATACTTTCAGACTGTTTTGCACACGGTTGTACCCAAGGAGGTGGATGTGGTCCTGAGCTTCGGACGGATCAGGCACCCTGATCTCATTCTGAGGTCCACTCGGCCCCTCCGGGGCCAGCAGCTGTGGCCATGGGCGAGCCGAGGGTGTCCATCGGGCCGGAAGGTTCCACAAGCTTCTTGCGCTTCTCCACACCTGGCAGGCTCGCTTTCCCGGCACCTTCTACTTCATCAAGTTGCACCGTGTTTCAAAAACCCACCCCGAATGAATAAAAGGAGCCCTTGCTGGACAAAACGGACTTGTCAGTTACGTTTCTGAACCGAGGCCTCAAGTGAGGGACCTGGGACCCAAGGGCAGCCGGGGACCACAAACAGGTGAAAAAAACAACAACAGAGGCCCTCTGCTGGTTTTGAGGGATCTGTTATGAAACACACCGGAAGAAGCAAAGTCTGAGTTTTCAAGTGAAAAGCAGGTAGCAGGGTTATATAATAAATGGTTTAAAATCGCTATGCATAAGGAGAACAGTTTCCACTTACTTTGCATCTCCAGATGCCACGCTGGTGTACTTACTAATCACTAACGTCCACACTTCTCGAGGGTTCCTCAGTTCTGAGCCTGCACAGGCATCCTCTCTCTGCCTTTTAGACCATCCTTGAGGGGAGGAATGGCTACTGCCTCCATTTTACGGATGAGAAGACTGGGGCCCAGAGCAAGGAAGCCTCTGTCTAAGGTTGCACAGCTCTAGGAAGGAGAGTTGGGGTTGACCTTGGGTCTTCGTGGGCCTAGTGCTGAGCTCTAAGCTTGCCTTCCAGGAGGACTCAGGAAAAGCAGCAGAATATGGTTGTGCTAATAACCACATGTACTTCTTGAGCACTTTCTGAGCTTTTCACGTGGAAGGGTTCTCTGCATTGGGCTGCATTTCATACTCAGAGCAGCCCTGAAAGGTGGGTTCTGGACTTCTCTTATTAATCCCATTTGCACATGAGCAAACTGAGGCTCAGAGCAGTGGGGTCGCTCACCCAAGATCACACCTCCCTGACGGACCTAGCACAGTGTCTGGAATGTTCTATTGTTTTCAGCATGAAGCCCTGTCTGGTATGTGGTTCACCCACGGAGTAAAAAAACCCTTTCCACCCCAGCGTAGAAGGGCCAGAGGCAGCCAGCCTGGCCACGGGAATGGAGGGAACAGCAAAGGGCACAGGCCTGGAGGCTGGAACTTGTGTGGCCTGTAGGAGGAGCAGTGTGGCAGACGTGATTGCTGGAGCAGCGAGACTGAGGGGCAGGAGAGAGGCAGTTAGAAAGACGAGCAGGGCTTTGTAGGCATCTGGGGTCTGCAGAAACCCAGGACCTTATCCAAGCGCAATCGCTCTGCTGGCGCTCAGGGGCCCTTCTGGTATCTGCATCTTCTCTCTCTACACAGGCCCGGCACCCACCTCTCTCAGGCCAATTTTGGATTGTGGTGCCCCTGGAGGTGATGCAAAGAGGCCCCAGGACATGCCATCAGGAAAAGAGCTGTTTCCTTTGCAAATCTCTTCTAATACTTTCAATTACATCAAGGAGAAAGTTGTAGGTTGGGCTAGACTGTCTTAAATGACCCTTAACCAGAGGGAGGAGAGAGCAAGCCTCAGGCTCAGAGCCTTTGGCAGCATGCACAACTGAATTCACACTTGAATAGCATCATCGTCTTATTTATTTTTTTACAGTTAGCCGTTTATAGCAAGTTTTCATATACTCAATTTACATATATTTGCATATATTTACATGCAATGTAAAACACAATATTAAAACATGCGTCTTTAAAGGATAAGAAGGTGTGTCAGTTAAAGGAAAATGTGAAGTGTGAAGGAAATAACAGTTCAAGAGATAGCAGAACCCAGGATCTGGGCACTGTTGGTTTAAGTCAACCAGCCTGTAGGAGCCTAGCCTGGAAGAGTTGGTCTCCACAACCGGGGCCTGATTGTCCCTGATCTCCTGTCACACCCACCGAGGGAGGAGGGATCAGAGAGAGAGGTGGCTTCTTGTCCCTAACGCTTTGCATTGGGACTCCTCCCTGATTCTGACAGACTGCCGTGGCCTCTTCCGCCACCTCTGAGCCCTGCTGGGCGAGGGAATTCAGAAGTTCATGAGGCTCCTTCTGCCTCAGGGCCCCTCCAGTCTAGGAGAGGTCTAACGGGGAGGAAGGTAAACTGAGACAGATTCCAGTGGGGCCATGGGAGAAGATTTTAATAGGTATGCAAGGGCGATTTTAATAGAGATTTCAGGAGAGGGCATGGGAGGAGGGAGGGGCTTGACGATGGGCAGGAGAAGGGAATTCTGGGAGGCAGGTGAGTTTGGGAAGAGCTGGAAATGTGGGAACGGAGCTGGAAAGAGGGTGGGGCACAGCCTTCATGTCAGGCTGGACTATGGGATGGATTTATTCTCTGGGCCTGGAGTTCTCAACCCTGGGTCAGAATCACCAGGCAGAATGAAGCGGCTGGGAGAGTGTGGTGAATATTCCCCCAGAGCCTGGGAGAGTGTGGTGAATATTACCCCAGAGCCTGATGAAATGTAGTCATTCTGTGAGGGGTGGGGGTGGGGTACCTCTTTCCCTTTGTAAGCCTAGAGCGAGTTTGGTGGTTAGATGGGAACTTCTGCAAGATTCGGTGAAGCATTTCAAAGTTCCAGAGACATCAGAGAGAGGGGCTGCTGCTGGGGAAGGGAGCCTGAGGCCTCAGAACGCGCCCCTGGGCTCTGGCCTCTTTCCAGGCCACGTGGCTGCCCCAGGACACAGCCTGTAACAGTCCTTAAAACCAGTCTGGGGACAGAGCCAAGCCCTTAGGCAAAGGGACCCAGCCAGGATCAGGCAGGAAGGAGGCCCAGTTAAGTTTTAATGGGATCAGCTGGCCTGTAGCTCGTTTCTTCCATCGTGTTTGGATCTTGCTTCTTCATTCACTCAAGAAACATCCGTGAGCGCATACCAAGACCCCAGCGATGCGTTTTGCTTGTTGGTTGATGGGTTCAGAGGCCATGGGATCTGCACCCAGGAGGTCCCGGGGTGGTGGGGAGCCAGGTCGGACAGAGCCCAGATATTCCTGGTGCAGGATACTTGCTTAGAGAGACAGAATTTTGCACACCAGCTCCACTGCCTGGCCCGTCCGCGTCCTGCCCTCCTGCCTGGCTAACTCCTTTATATTCTTAGTAAACAGAACTTTCTGCCCCTCTGCCCCAGCTCTGATTACCGAAAACTGGGAGTGACGAGGTCCGGGTGTGGGGTCAGTAGATCCTTCCCGTGCCAGACCTCAAGAACCGGTGGAGTATTCAGAAGGCGCCCAACACGAGTTTGTTGCGGGGATGAATGGATAACAGCGGCCGGTCTGCGCCTGCGCGTGGCGGGGGCGTGGCCCGGGGCGGGCGGGGACCAGGCGGGAGCAGGCCGCGGCGCGCGCAGGCGTTACTGGGCGCGCGCAGGCGTTACTGGTCGCGCCGGGTCACGTGAGTGCGCAGGCGCAGTGCTGCGCAGCCGGTTCCCTCACACAAAGCCCAGACGCGGAGAAAATGGCGGCAGGGGTCGAAGCGGCGGCCGAGGTGGCGGCGACAGAGCCCAAAATGGAGGAGGAGAGCGGCGCGCCCGGCGTGCCGAGCGGCAACGGGGCTCCGGGCCCGAAGGGGTGAGTATCCCATGGCTCCGCGTCCCGGGCCGGCCGCCTTCGCGGCGGCGCCGTTAGGTCTGTTGGAGGCCTCCCCCCGGCGCGGCGTCAGCCCGGGCCTTTCCCGCGGGGCCTGCCCGGGGTGGGG